TCTGTCCACGGTGGACCGGTCTCTGCTAGAGGATCTGGGTCTGTCCACGGTGGACCGGCCCTCTGCTGGTGATCTGGGTCTGTCCACGGTGGATCGGTCTCTGCTGGAGTCTGAGCTGAAGGAGGTTCTGGTGAACCTGCATGAGTTCATCTGGTTTCACCAGAATCCGACCCGGTGGCTCCGATGACGAGCATTAAGAATAACTCTATAGAAACAGACCATCTTCTCTCTGACGGTCTCTTTACTGATGGAGGTCTGATAGAGGACCAGGACTACACTGAGACTGGTTCAGGACCAGATGAAAGTTCCCACACACACAAACAGCAGCAGAATAAGTGGGAAAGAAGAAGAAGAAGAAGAAGAACCCTCTACCTGCAGCACAGGTCTGCGGCCCGACTTGGCCGGCAGAGAGGGGGGACAGAGCTGGACCTGGTCTGACATCAGGTCCTGGTACCACTGCTCTAAATCTAGCTTGGGGATGTGAGGCCTACTACCTTCAGACTGGTACTGCAGAGACCAGCAGAGAGGAAACAAAGACGAGAAGAACAAGAGATTAGAAAGCACTCAGAGACGGAGGGAGACGTGTGTTTTATGAACCGCTGTGATGAAGAGTTATAAAACGATTCTTAAACATCTTCAACACCTTATTGTCGTCAGCTCCTTTATGCTTCACACCCTCCAGCTGCTTCATCCTACTTTACATGTCTGGATTCTAATTCCATGTTGCAGCTGCAATGACCCACTTCTTAAGTTTTCATCCAATGTGATGTTTTAATTCACTGAAATGTGTCGAGTGTCTCTACGAAGCATCTTGAAGAACAACACTTTATTCTGGTTCCCGTCTCTGCTGTGAAGTAAACACTTTAAACAGCGACTGAGAGAAGCTGCTGACAGACAACCAGCAGAGAGACACGATGACTGATCCCTTCACTCAGTTCAACCATCTCATGTTTAAGACACGGAGGACACGCCCAGGTACCAACTGAGACGGTTGAATGTAATCATGTCCCACTGTGAGACATGAATCTGGGTTTTCTCACGTCTACGTTTCCCACATTTATATAATCTTACAACTAAAATCATTCAAATACAACAAACGTTTTGGTTGAGCTGGTGACCCATAAAGGAAGGAAGGGAAGGAAGGGAGGGAAGGAAGCACACTACCTCCAGAGAGAGAGCGAGGGAGGAGCCGTGAGGGGAGAAGGCGGGGTCTACGGGTCCAGACTGCAGGGGCTGACGAAGCGGGGACGTAGGAGACGACTCCACCTTCGGCATCCCATACATGTGATTTAACTGACCCACTGTCACGTAGTCCTTCAGGAGGACAGACAGACAGACAGGAAGGAGAGGAGACAGACAGACAGACAGTAAGGAGAGGAGACAGACAGACAGACAGTAAGGAGAGGAGACAGACAGACAGACAGTAAGGAGAGGAGACAGACACGTCAGCAAGACAGGCAGCAGTAAGGAAACATCAAGTTCGGTGTCTTCCTGCATCATGAAGCAGTAAATAGAAACATGTCCTCTAAGCATTTTCTTTACTTCTCATGTCTTTAGAAAGACTTGACAGACTGATTTAAGACATTTTAATACCAATTAAGGCCTTATTATTAGATTCATGAAGTAAAAGACCGTTCAAAGGATCCAAAGAGAACAGTAAAGATAAATAATATAACAATCTGTAGAAAGAATGTCTTTCATCGTTTCCATCTTTCTCTCTCATGTTCTGTCTCGTCTCCGACTCTCAGCTTTCAAATACAGGAATAAAAAAATGGATCAAATATGAAATATATATATATATAAATATATATCAAATAAAACCCAGCCCTGCATGTTGTACTACTAGACTTCTGTTTTACAGGATCAAGAATATATTAGTCATTAATACAAAATATCAGCTTTTGGTTGCCTCAAAGCAAACCTGCATTTGTCATTGTAACCCTGATTAAACTCTGCTCCGAGATCAAAGACTCATGACCAGTTCAGTCAGTCTGAGCAGCATGACATGGAACAGAAGGACAGACAGGAAGTGATGCTACAGACAGACAGGAAGTGATGCTACCTCGCCAGCTAACGCAGCGTCTACGGCTAACGAGCGGCCGTGAGAGGCGGAGCTTCTGCCGTACATCTTACAGACGTCCGACAGCTTCATGTACTCCTGAGCACCAGGAGCCAACAACAATCAGACAGGATGAGAACATGAACACACACACACACAGCCCATATTTAACCCGACTGTTTGATTCCTGGTATTACAGCTAAACGGACGGACACACAGGTTCACACCAAGCAACACAAACTGCTTGGTGTGCTTCTTAACCATCATAACCGGACGTCACACAACAGGACGTCACACAACAGGACGTCACACAACAGGACGTCACACAACAGGACGTCACACAACAGGACGTCACACAACAGGCACTTTAGTTGGCCGTTACACAGACCAGTGACGTAGCGGTGAATAAAAACATGCTGAACATGTGACCATCATAAAAGGTATTAAAACCCCTGAAAGGCATCGAGTCATTTAGTCCATCAACAGCTCAGCCTTCTGGAGCGCTTCCTGTTTTAACAATCAGGAATAAAAGTGCTTTTTTTCTACAGATACAAGCTCTGGTCTAACTCGTGCTTTCCCTCCGTTAAAGCGTCCAATGACGACGTGTCAAGAGTTAAACAAGTCCGTTACCAGATTAGTTTGCTCTCCACACACTAAGACCACCGTAGATCTTGATATTAGTAGAGTTAGAGCAAATCACAGCGAGTTAAAGGTGTAAATGAGTTCCCTCACCTCTCTCATGGCCGTGGAGGACTTGGGGAAGCTCCTCCCACCCGTCAGGCCGTGGTACCTCTTTTCCAGAGCCGACAGCCTCTCCTTCTCCTGGAACAACAACAACACACAAGTGTGTGTTAGTCACGGGTTGTGTTAAACCAAATAAGTCATTTTTGTGGAGCTCATGCTGCAGGATTTTCCTCCACCGGTGAAGCGAGCACTTGCATGATGGAGAAACCCCACCTTTCAAAGTGAGGAGATATTTGTTAAATTTGACAAAAGTGGATTGGAATCACAGACTCCGCCTCTAAATTTAACCTGTGAATTACAATAATTTAAAAACATTTAAATGGCCGTTAAAAATAGATTGACAGAATTTTTACAACCACGTCCGTCAAATATGGACGCAAACATTGAGCAACTATTTAAATTCAAGCACAAAAACATCAACATTACTGTAAACTGCAGGTTTTTAGATGAAATATGCAGATTTACAAGATGCAGACTTTCTGCAATAATCTGTGCTTTCCTTCCAAGAATCCCACTTTGAGTGAAATATTGTTCAGGGTGAGTTTGAACTTTCACTCAGTACCTTTAGGAGCATTTGCAGAGCGAGCGTCCGATCTTTGGCGAGCCGCTCGCACTCCTGAGACGCCTGCAGGCCGAGCTGGCCGGCCTGGTTCTCCAGAGCAGACACCTTCTCCTAAAGAACGCAGAGAGAAGTTCTTATTGCAAGCTGAGCTACGGAAGCCCTGAGAGGCCAATCTTAGGCCTGTGTTGATGGCTTCAGAACAGGCGAGAAAAAGGTATTGCCAAGATAATCTCTCCAAAGTCTTAAAAGAAAATCCTTTGTGCAGTTCTACCAGGATAACCACCACATTCACCACCACCACCACATGCTCCACATAGAGATTCCCTTTCCCCCATGCACTCTAAACACAACGTGCATACATTGTGTGTGAGCAAGTTATGTCAATTAAAACTCACCTGGAGGAAAACATAAATACTTTTAGTCATATTTAAAACATGGTGGTGCACTCTTTGCCTCTTCTGGCCAGAATGAGTACTACAACAACAAACACTTTATTTAAATCACATAACAAAACCTTTTATTCACACGTTCTTAAGTCATAAACACGAGAGAGAAAACTGTTTACAGCATATCTAGTAAACGCATCATCAGATGTGTTTTTCTCACTAAAAAAAGTCTTCTGCTTCAGTCAGAACGTGTTGGCGTTTAGCCGCTCAAAAAAAAACACAGTAGAGAAAACTGTTTAAATAGTTGTTAGAAAGCCGATCACCAGCGCTGTGTAATAGCATGGACAGTACTGTGCTTTCTGGATCCTGAGTGGACGGATGCGGCGGTGCAAAATGAAACCTCCAAACGTCTCCGGTGGGTTTCTGATGTCGTAATTAAAACCTTTGATTAAAATAAACACTGATTTCATGCCTCTGTCCAGATGGTTGAGACTCTGTTTGGCTGCTTCCTCTCTGTAGCTGATGATTGGGAGGAGCTTCCAGGATATGAATGTCGGTGTTGCTCACCTTCCTCGTGGCCACGCTGCCGTGGTACTCGGCTCTCTCCTGCAGCAGCTGCTGACTGATGGTCTCTCTCTCCTCCTCCAGGCTGCTCTCTCTCTCCAGCTGCTGGAACTCCAAGTCCTCAAACTTCTTGGTTCCCGTTTCCAACGCCTCTCCGTCCTGATGGAGGCCCACACACACACACCATCATCATCAGCATCATCAGCGGTTACAAAAACAGGAATATAAGTGGCTCCTCTTAAAGCCAGCCACTATTCTCAGACTGAAATAGTTTGAAAGTGTTTTCCTGGCTGAAGCTCTTTTTGGGGGACAAGAACAAGCACACGGTGCTCAGTCATGAAGAACATGCTTCTACTGTAAAGGTACACAGGAGGCAAGCAACGGCAATTAACATAACGTTTATGTTAATTGCTACTTTGCACTGGAAGATTTGAGGTCAGATCTTCTACTTAAACTGCTACAGAATCAACGCCTACAATGTGAAAATGACAGGACAGATACTTGATGGTAAAAAGGTTCTTCAGAAAGATATTGGTAAAGAAACCCGACGGCCTGCAAAGTCACCTCACTGACATGCAGAGCGTTCAGAACAGGAACAAATAAATCTACTGGTGCAACGTGTGAAATCTGCCAGAATCTTAACTTTAAAACTTGAACAGAATGTGAAGACGTTACAGTGTTGATGTTACAAAGATGTCCATGTATTGCTGCGGAGATATCTAATGAAATTAGCATGCTAACCAGCTAGCCCCGTTGTGTATTGTAATACCACTTGTGACCTCTGGAGGTGATAGTGAGTCACTGTGGCGTCCAGTCTGTCCTCGATCCAACACGAGGATGAAGAAGTAGAGTGTGTTGAAGGTACAGAGAGTTTGTTTATTGGATTAAATCCAAAATGGCAGAAACGATAAACTGCTGGTATATCTTATAGCTGTGAAGCAACGCAAATTCTGGCACCGCAAACCCCAAATCTGGAGGTTCTGGTCCCAGGAAACGAGTCCTTTTTATAGTTTCTGCCACTTCGGATTAAATCCGTATTAACCAAACTATCAAACCTCCAGTTAGCGTCACAGTGAACTCACAGAAGGCCGACTTAAACCACTGGCCGACGCCACACCTGAAGACAGCAGTGTTATTGTGACGGGCTCTTATTTTGTAGTAGAGGTGAAATGCTGCCCCCTATTGGTTTGGAGCAGGTGGCACAATATCACACAGTGCACCTTTAACAACAGTCTTGAACCTTTGAACTTCTTTACCCAACAAATACACGTAGCCGACAACAACGCTTCACACCGGTAGAAACAAAAGATTCATCTTTTGTTTCATTTGCAGGAGAGAAGTCACAGGATGAGAGCGAGCGGAGGACAGAGGATGCATCAAGTCAGAGTTTTTGTTAATTGATTAGTGAGCAGTTACACACATTATGCGAGCCGGGACAAAGAAACCACAGAAGAGATGCAGATCAGATCCACACATGCGGTGCAGCAGCACGACCTCATCGCTCTGAGGGAGCATGAAGGTGTGGAGGAGGGAACATTCCTGCAGCTCGTCTGTGAGGGGGCTTCTCATAAATACACCAACTATGTGTGTGTGTGTGTGTGTGTGTGTGTGTGATGGTATGTGCTGAGGCCGGTTACATTTAGTGCTGAGACAGAAGCAGTGAGAGAGGTTTACAGTTCAAAGGCTGGCTGTTATCTAGATAAGATGTTCTGGTTATTGTAATTATATAAATGGAAGTAATGGTGCTGTTAGATTGCTGCTAGACCAACGCGTTAACACAGGTGCTTCCTTTGTTGGCTTTTTGACCGCCAACATAAATAGATTAAAGCAGAATATTTTGTTAGATAAAAACATGTTATAAATTTCAGAAATCATAACATTTATCTTTTTCTTTTGGATTTATTGGAAACGTTCGGACAATCCTCAGCGTCCACCACTGGAAACTAATCCAACAAATAGTTTAAGAGTAATACTATTAATGTAACTTAAACTTTATCTGCAACTGTGCACAAACACCAGGTTAAAGAGAAGGAACAGACATGCAGAGAGTTACATGCTGCAGTCTTTAAATGATCTTCACAGGATGCAAGAAGGAAAAAAGAATCAACTAATAAAACATCTTTTGTCTTCTTCCTTTTAACTTATTAAAGACAATAAACAGTTTTCTCTGCTTTGAAAGGTGTCCATCTGTCCACCTACTATCAACACGTCTACGGAAATCAATATGATAAATGAATTCACAATGAAATACATCTGAATATGTAACTTTAAAGTAGCTTCACCATGCCACACTGCAAGAGGGTCTATTATTCTGTCTCAGTTTGTCATGAGTGGAATAATTAACTAAGTTACAAATATTTCAGTTTTGGGAAATTATTGTTTTTCTTTTAACAGATACAGCAAGAGCTTTAGCTTTAGCTAACGCTAGCTCTGGATAGCTCTCTTGCTAGCTGTGTATTTGACTTGTTCTCTACATTTACATACATTTAAAAATTCTAAATCAAAAATAGGTGCTTAATTAATACTAAATATTGCTTCAGGCCAAAGCACGTCAGCTGCAGTTTAGAAGAAGCCAACTGGTGAGGACAGGAAGCTAAGGGACGGGCTGATGCCACTCAGTGAAAGGTTGTGGGTGGGATGGTGACTGTGTGTGTGTGTGTGTGTGGTGATGTATTGGGGAAGGCTACTGGGCGAGGTGGGAGTGGGGGGGTCTAGGTGCTTGTGCCGGACTGACGACCCACCCTTTTGAGCTGTTCCTGCAACTGTTCCCGCAGGGACTCGGGACAGTTATGGAGCTGGTTCTCCAACTCAGCGTAGCCCTCCTGGAGGCTCTGCAGGGCCCGACGCTCAGCCTCAACATTACACCTCTCCTAGAAAGACACAACACACACACCCACACACAGGATGGATGGACAGGGGAGAGAGAGAGACAGGGAAGACAGAGAGAGAGACAGAGAGAGAGAGAGAGAGAGAGA